GCCAGGGTTGTATTTGAAAGCGCACTCATTTAGTGCGTTCCAGTAGCACATTTCTGTACCCTTGTGATACAACTTTTATCGTAAAATATTAAAACGATTATTGTTGTTTAAGGTCGGTGTTATGCAGAAATTTTGTTTGGCAAACTGCGTGCAATTGTTGTTGCAGCAAACTCGGGGAGAGCGAGTTTGGCGACTCTCACAGCAAACTAATTTTGTTTGGTCAAACTGCAGCAAATTCGGTGTTGTCATATACAAAAATTTTAAATTTTGCGCGTTATGTACATCTGAAATTCTCATTTCGTGTTGGCAATAGCCATGAAAACCATAATGAACGTGCAACCCTGTGCCAAACTCGACATAACCACCTCCGAGCAAACTAAGCAGCCGCCATTTAATTTGGCAAACAAAAGTTTGTCTGCATAACACCGACCTAATTAGACTAGACAGAGAAACTTTTGTAGCTCATTTTCGGCAATTTCTCTTTTGGTGTTACCCTTCGTGTTCACACAGAGAAATCCTTTTGTACACAATTATTGTTGTCAGCTATGAACGGCCAACTAGAATTACTCAGACGAACGGGAGCACAAAGCGTGTTGCCCGAGCACGAGCAACTCGGTGCCCTTTCCCCTTTCACGTCTCCTCCTCCCTGACAAGTAACGAGTTGCCGCGACAAAAGTTTCTCTGTCTGAACCTAGACCTAGAACTTTCATAGTGCATTGGAAATACTGGAAAAAATTAAAACTATAGTAACAAGCAGTGATCGGACTTCGAAAATTTGTGTGGTAGAATCTGGAAAAAAATGTGGTACATTTCAAAAAAATGTGGTAGATCTCAGGTTTTGGATCAAACTTTGTACAAAAATTTAAAAAATTGCAATCCTTTTAATTAGAATCTAAAAAAAATATTTTAGTATAATAATGTGCAAGGTTGAAGTTAATTGTTTTGAATTTTGACAATTTCTTTCCTTGACAGTGTAAAGCGGAACTTTCATATCAAGATATTTTTCGAACATATTTTGAAAGATTTCTGCAACCTTGCGGAGTGCTGGCAGCTTTTCTTTTTGTCACTTCACGATTTAGAGCAAAAATGTGGCACGTTCCAACAGCTCCTTGGGATTTGCCGATTTTGCAAATTCTCAAGTAAAAGTAAACATCACTTTAGAAACTTTAGATGCACTGAAGCGTGCTAATACTTTCACAAAAATTGCCTTAAATTTTCGCTGTTAATTCTTTTTATAAATCATATATTTTGCAATTTAACATAATAAAACCCAGTTTCCTGTCGAAAGATTGAATTGTTAGTGTTTAGTGTTGGAAAATGTTTGCTCTTAAAATTAAGAAAATTATGTCGAGCAGAAATAAAACTACTCAAAAAAGCGAATATGTGGTAGATTTCAGACCTTGTGTGGTAGATGTGGTAGATGCTCAAAAACGTGGCAGATCAACCACAATGTGGTAGAAGTCCAGTCACTGGTAACAAGAGAGCAGAGCTGTAAAACTGTGAAATCATATGAAATTAAAAATCATCAATTTTATGTTATTATGTTTTCATTGAATTTTTCCTTGTTGGGGAATGTGGCTTATAATTTTCCAATTCTACATTCACTCAAAGTAGATACGATTGCACACATTAACATATTCAAAGAAAGATTGAAAAAACTGAATGACGAAACATTAACTTTTAACACTGAATAAGCATTCAGATGAATGCAGCTTTTGCTATGTGTGCACACATTCATTCAGTATCAATCAATCGATATAAATATTCTAAATACACAAAACCCACTGAAAAATACGCAAGGTTGAATTTTATTGAACAGATTTCAAAATTTCAACACGAAAAATAGTTTATTGAGCGTTATCACTAATTTGTTTCACTTAAATTTGTACAAATATTTATAATAAATGAAAATATTAATTAGAGAAATATTTTTCTGCCAAGAATGTCATTATGAAAAATGTTAATTATTAACGATTTTTACATCTCTGTTTCGAAAATTGTCAGCTTTCTAAATGAGTATTACCAATGTACCAATAAAAGGTATGTGCAGAAATTATTACATATGTACATACCTATATATCTACGTTAAAATAAGTAAACAAATTTAAGCGCTTCTACTTCTAACTTTAGATATATACATTTTATTATTTATTAATAAAAATTCTTAATACAAGTTTCTTCGTACTTTAATAAAGATTCTAAAACCTGATTTGTGGGTTTGTGGTGGTTTCTACCATTTACAATAAGTTGCAAATTATCAACTTTTCTCAAAAAAAGATTTAACAAATCTGTGTGCAAACCCCTTTTTATTTTAGTGTGGTATAATCGAAAAAAAAAATGTGGTAGATTTGAATAAGATGTGGTAGATTTTCCAATTCATATTTTATTGGGTATACATATCGCTCACCGTCGTCAAAAGAAGCACAACTCAAAAATTAAATCGGGAAATATAATTGCTAGTGGATCGTACAGATTCCACGCAATTGGTGCAAAAACAAGTATAACATTAATTTTCTAGTTAGAGAATATAATCATGAAGAAAATAATATTTTATTTGTATACAAAAAAATCGACCAAATTATTTTCCCATTGCATAATACTTTAGCAAATATAAATAGGCGTATTTTTGAAATATTAGAAAGTTAAGGCACAGATATATTTAAAGCAAAATTTATGATGTACCTTTTTAAAAATCTATTGATTAATTTGAATTTGATAATTGAATTAATTTTTATATTTCGAATTACAATTGAAGTGAAATTCTAGAGTTATGGGAAAATTGTAAACAAATGTTCTGTCTAAAATGTGGTAGATTTTAAGCCTTGTGTGGTAGATGTGGTAGACACCCAAATTTAAAAAAAAATACGTGGTTGATCTACCACACATGTGGTAGAAGCTTGCACACTGTTCTAAACGTATGTTTTGAGCAAATTGATGTTTAAAGCTAGCAATATATCCCATGTCCATTTTCCAAAACTATAATAATAAACATGGCAGTTTTTTAGCAATTTGGTTCCTGTAATTAAGGAAATATTGTAGTTTTGGCATTTTTCGAAATTACCATTTTATGAGAGGGACCAGGTTATTGTTCGACTTTTGTATTTTCAATACCCTGCTGCCCTAGATAAAAAACCCTCGTACAGAATTTGGTTGAGATATCTCAACTTTTGCTAGAGCAGAGAGAGAAACGGGCATGGACTAATCATCTTCCCTTTTTATTCTGAGCATTTTTATGTATATATACATACATAAGTAGTACATACGAACATAAATGTATGTATCCATATCGATTAATTTTGGTTGTTCCAAATATACGTTATTTGAAAAAAAGTTATGGTACCCTCTTGCAGAACTGCGTTGTAAATATGTTTAGGAAACATTTAAATTAATAGTTAATTAAAAAAGTTGATCAAAGTAATGGAACTCCTCAACCCCTTTAAAAAAAACAGGAACCCTTCTGAAATTTTGTTTTGAAAGTTTTCATATTTGAAAACTGAAAAAAATCACAGTATACAGCAAATCAGCCATTGACAATATGCTTATTTGAAAACTAATACATGAAATGTTGTGAATATATAGGATTTTTTTGTCATTAACCCATAGGCAACAACTGGTGCAAAAGTACCTACAAATGTTTGTTGATATATTTGAAATGTAAATTTGAACAGCAAAATTCGTAAAACAAATTATAATAAAACAAAAGTATTGTTAATTACTACGTGGGAGGTGGGCGTGGTTATTGGCAGATTTCGACAAAATTTAACACTAACCTAAATTATACCAAAGGCAACTTCGACACCGACTTTCGTTAAAATAACTAAATTTTGTTCGAGTTAGCGTGTTTACAAACGGAGAGGGCTGAACTAGTTCATCTCGTCATTCTGAATATATGTGTATATACGTACATACATTTTATACGGTTAACAAACGCGCTCGCTTATCTGCATAAACCTTCTTTACTTGCATTAAGGGTATTCATCAAACCTTATAAATGCATTGTAAACCGTATAAACTTATAATTGTGTAAACCTTATAAATGAACTGTCAAAATTTGTATGGAAACTCGTTTACACATTTCTGATAAATTTATCCAGCGATTTCACTGAATAAACTTGATAAACTGAAGACAATGCAACTCTGTCGCAACTCTAGCTATGTTTTCTTAGGCAATAATCGGGATCCGCATACAAATTTTGCACGCAAATTCAACACCGATATGATCCTGATAGAGATCTGGTTCAATTATTATCCCGTCTGTTTGTTTTGTTTCATTGATAATTCGCAAAGTTTGGTAGCCGTGACAAATGAATTCATACACAAACAGACATTCTGCCATTGTTTCTTATAACTTGCTTCAAATAAATAGCCTTTATGTTGTATGTACATTTATTTAAATAGATATCTCGTAAATATAATTTTTTCCAATTTAGTGAGGTAGTTTCTATAATTTCTTTATCCCCGTGCTAGTAGTATAAAGTTAGTGACACTGCGCTTTATAACCAAAGAAAACACGACTATTGTCGCATGTGTAAACGAAAAGAGAGTGTGGGTCGTTCATGTAATACAAGGTTCACATATAAGTAGATTATCCTCATTTTCGAGCTTAACACCCTAATCTGTAATTATAACAAGAGATTAGCCATATAAAAATCGTTCCTTGTTAATCTGTAATTATAAAATAATCTCAGATTAAACCGATAACTTTTCGGTGTCCACCCTAGTTTTATCGATTGTTTTTGCAAAAAAGAGGTGAAATGCCAAATGTAAAAGTAAACAAAAATGTACGCTAGCAAGGAAAAGAGGTTTGTAAAGGTATTTTTAATAAAATGTTAAGTTAAAATATATTTATATTCCCTATTATAGCATAAAAACGTGATCACGGTGCCACAGAGAAGAAAC